GATCAATAGTTTGAATGTTTGGCATTCAAACTAGTTCCACTCCTGTTTCAGGGGATCAATAGTCTGTTTGTTGTAGACAAACTAGTTCCTCTCCTGTTGAAAGGGGATCAATAGTATGTGCATTACACAAACTCATTTCTGTTAATCATTTACTGATTACATGGACAAGTTCTTCTATTATGACCAAATTGACCACAATTACCACATTTTCTTTGTGTTGCAGGTGGTTCTAGAGATTGCCTTGGAGAATGTGGTACTTCAATCTCCATTGCAAGGTCTGGTGGATTATCTACACCTGGAGTTGATTGTCGAGATGATCCTGTTAGTCGAGGTGCATCAGGAAATGGGCAGGTTACATCTTTGCATTTGTATCTGCAAAACGATCTTATCTTTTCGTAAAGGTACCATTTCCTTTCAGTTGACATACCCTTTGGTGGTAATATATTAGGTAGTTCATCTTCCATTATTTGAGCGTCCTCCTTCAGCAAATTGAATTGTGTGACTGGACCATCTACAGCTTGTCTGGCTGCAACTACACCAGGTGAGGTCGCATTTACAACAAAGTCTTGAAAGCCTTTGATGCCTTTTATTTTCTTGAATAATGTAGCAAAGTAACTACACCAGTCAAGTGTTTCTACAATGAGTTCACCATTGCTACTTCCTACTGGTTGGGCTTTGTTTACAGCTGATTATTGTTCTACAACTTGAATAAAGTCATCCAATGAGTCCACCTCTGCTTTACAGAATTTTTGCTTTAATAGTCCGAAGCACCAGTCTGGAGAAAATTTTGTGTCCAACTGGCAGAAAGGATATTGAAATGGACGCATTGAGTCCTGTCATGACTCTCCATAAGAGGTACTAAAATAAATAAAGAATTACATTTAAAATGTTCATTATTGTGCATGTAATATACTTACATGAATAACTGTATTATTTTTATTTTGCCCTGTGCAGTTGTCAGCATTGAAATGGATACTGACTGAGTTGAGGCCATGATTCTTCAAATAAAAATGTACCATGCTTATGACAGGATTTGCCCCTTTACCAGTGTCGAATGATTCATCGATCAAGAAATTAACCTGCTCAGGGATAGCTTCACAGCACACACCAAATATGCCACATTTCCTGGGAGTAAGAAAATAAATTGGAACTGCTTGTTGTGGACTTGAAGGATAGTGAACCTTTAAAAAAGTAGGTAAGCTAGATACACTTTCATAATTATCATAAAATGTTACCTGTTGAGCATAATCGAAGCTATAATGTGCTACAATATTAAACATAGCAAGTGGCCTTGTTAGTGGGGGATTGTATTTGTTTGCTGCATCAGTATACAGCCCTTTTAACAATAATTGTGCCTCTTTTAATACATCCTTATAGTACTCCCTTTCCTTTTT